AATCGTGTTCCAGCCACGGTTTAACTTCTCCCGGAGGTGTCTGTAGGACATGAAGCCCGCCGGGACTGCGTGTAGCCAGTGAGGCAAGCGAGTCCGCTGCAAAGTTTGATTCACGCCAATCATGTAGAAGGCGGACCTCCCAATCTCTGTCCATGAGTCCTCGAACCCCTCGAATCAAGCTACCATTGGCTCCCACACCTCCATGGTGGCCCTCAATCATTCGTACCACGCATTGGCTATCGACTGATGCGATCACTTTCCGAAAGCCCATATTCCAAGCTAGGGATAAAGCTTGGAATAATCCCCAAAGTTCGGCGCCAGTTATCGTCGCGTAACCAATGTTCATAACAAAGCCCCCGACCCAATGGCCGAGGCAATCCCGTAGCAAGCCGCCTGCTGCTGCCAAGCCTGTTTCCCTATTAAAAGAGCCGTCCGAGTTTATCTTTACCCAGCCCTCCGGGGGCGGGATCCAACGGACCATTCTAATCTCACGCCGGACCACGCCCGAGACACACTGGTTCGCGTGAGCCTTAGCCGCTAAAATGTTCCGCCGATGCATTTGGATTTCGCGAGCCCGCTGAGTCACGTCAAAGACTTCGTGGTTAAAAATGCATGAATTACGTGCATGCCAGATCCTCCACGCAACGATGCCAAATAAGCACGGCCAGTTCTCGACGCCATACATTTCCGGAGAGGAGAGGTGGGTAACGAGCCAGTCATTTAGGTTCATGTGGAGGAAATTCGTAAAATCAATCCCCGGAATGAAAAGCCGCCATAGCTGCTGCGCTCCACTACAATCTCGCAAGGCATGAATGATGCTCTCCTCGTGGCCACCGCATAACTCACAGCATGGCGAGGCCGCAACGTGGCGGCGAAAACGTTCGCAATTAGTTAGAAGACGGCCCTTTGCCACAAGCCAAAGAAACTGACGAATCCGTTGGGGTCCTTCCCATTGCCAGATTAATTTCCAAATTCGGGTCGCCTCCATCGCCGTCGGTCCAGCTAGCGAGTGGTACGCCGAAGCTGTTGTGAAACTTCCATCATCAGAATGACCCCAATATATGAGGTCGCGACCATCTGACTGGGGTGGGGGCCGCGATGCTACCTGCAGCAAGTAAGTCGCCGGCAAGAGGTGGGAGAAGCTCTCCCAGCGCCAGTGCCCCGTCTCCGACCGGAAGTCAGCGACCGTCCGGTAGTGCTGCTGCTCCGGGATGGTAGTGTCGAGACTTACCTGGCCCAACGTTACGTCCGAGTGTAGCCATTTATTTATCGTGCCAAAACCTGACACGGGTTCCATCCCCAACCGACCAACGCACGCCCCGTATTAGCTGACCCCAAATCCGACCCAGTCCCCGCATCGTGGACGATCCCTTCGGCAGAGTCGCCGTGAACAATAGTTGAGGATGCGATAACTTATATTTCGCCAATAGAACCCGAACCCATAGCGAGTCCGGGCGAGTAAGTATACCCCATCCCAGCTTCATCAGGAGGGCGTCGTTCATACGACGCATACATTTGAGACCCAAGCCGCCTTCACTTTTCGGTCGACAAACTTCGGCCCATGGTACCAACGAGGGCTTTCTATTCGTACCCGTGCCACCCCAGACAAACCGACGGCATTTCTTCTCCAGTTCATCCAAAATCGACCGAGGAAGCCACACTGTTTGCATAGAAAAGCATGGCAACGTGTTGATGACCGATTGTGCGAGTGTCACCCTCCCAGCCAGCGAGAGAGTGGCAGCCTTCCATCCAGCCAGTCGGGACTCCGCTTTATCTAAGATGTCGGAATACATGCATTTTGTGACTCGCCCATGAACTAACGGCATTCCAAGATACTTACCAAGATCACTAGCTTCAGAGAATCCCATGGAATCGGCTAAAACCTGCTTGAGATGGCCGGGGACATTTTTGGAGAAAGAGACACGTGTTTTCGCGGCGCTAACCTTCAAACCAGAGAGGCTGCAGAAAGAATCCAGCACCCGCTTGACCACCCCCGCTTGGTCGAGAGAAGCCTCCATAAACAAAAGTAAATCATCCGCAAAGAGTAGATAGGGTACCTCCACACGTGAAGCACCCCGACCTAAGCAGATCGGCCGCCATGTTTTCTTCAGTACTTCACTAGCAATGAGATGGGTTAACCGTTCTATGCATAGGACGAAAAGGTACGGCGATATCGGATCACCCTGTCGCACCCCACGTGTCGGCTTGAAAACCTCGGTTGCTTCC